CATTGCAGTTACTTGAAGCTGAGAAAATGAAGGATGTGATTAAGTTATATAATTCGGTCGTTTACCATCATTCGGGTCTCCCAATTCTCGCTAGACATTTGTATTATCGAGAGGTTTTTTTTACGAGGGTTATATCAACCCTCGGGGTGCTGGTGTTTTTGAAAAAAACCAATTGAAGTATGTCGGGTTTGAATGCAGGGCCGCTGGATTCGAACCCGGGACCTTTACCTTGCAGTGATGAGTGCCTGAACCGTTGCGGCCACCAACGCCCCCTCGAGAGAGTATTCAAAGTTGACTATTGCTGTTTTAATCTTGACTCAAATGATTTCCCGATGATTGAATTAATTTTGATGTTGGCTAGTTACAGTTCGCTCCGTTGATAATTCATCGGGCAAGGCCGGAGCCGAACAGAGTCGAAAGCTCATGATGTTGAGTGTCGTACATAAGTAATCCTTAGGTAAAACGTTTATCATTTAATTAATTTTCCAAGTTCCCAGTTTGTGTGTGCTCCACTCTTGACACTGATTGTCTACCGCACTCGTTAAATTCTCAAGATTCCTTGCAAATCGCCTCGGGCCTTTCTCCCTAGTTAGTGCCTTGTGGTTGGCCACTTCTCCCTTCACAACTGTGTCACGAAAGGATCTTTTTTTAACAACCCTCTTTTGGTGCCGTCCAATGTAACGATTCTACAAATGCCGAGCGTTCGTCATCTTTTTTCCCTTTCTTCGTAGAGATAATAAAAACGGCTTACCTGTCGACGAGGGTTGTTTGTTGCTTCCTATAACCAACTGCCCCTGGTGCAAACGAACAACCAAGAGGTAAATAAATTAAAACTGTACGTAATAACAATAAATTATAATTCTTAACCTTTCAGGCGTCCTTTCAGCCATGTGGTCACTTCAATTTTTTGATCTTTCGTTTCTTTTATTGGACATCTTGCCCGAGCTCTATTTTAATAAGCATGATATTTCCTTGCATATGGGATTTTCCGATGTCCACACAACTGTTGCGTCAGCCCATAGTTTCATGTATAACTTTGACATGAACCGTTTTTATTGCTAGTTGAGATATCTCGAAATTCTAAACTTGGAAAGCTGAAGGTGGACTTTATAGCCCTAACGTCCGTTCTAAATAAGTCAAACTCCAACGGAATACCTGGTTTCTTTAACCTTAATTGTAACAATAAAAATAGAACTACTAATAAAAAACATTGTCCAAGAATTTTTTTATCGAAATATAAACATTTTTAAAACGATTTGTTTAAACTGTTCGAGACAAAAAAAAAAAGGAAACCCCACATTTTACAAAGTATATTGTGATGCTGAAAAATATCACAACACACTATCATAAAAAGGTATAAATAATTAAATTTCAAGGGGCGTCGGCAGCTGCTACGGTTAAGGCATTGACACGCCGCCCATCACTATTAAGTATAGGCCCCGGGTTCGAATCCAGCGGCCCTGTATTCGAATCCGACATACTTACAAATGGGCAAAACACCGGTACCCTGAGGGTTGATATGACCTCTGCTGTTGCGAACCCTCTTAATAAAATAAATAAAATTTCATCTAACATAAAGAATGATAAGAGAATGAAATGTGCAAAATGAAAGTGATTTTTTCATTAAGTGTTAAAAAATATTTTATAAAATTAAGTATATTTTCTCAATAGAGGAGCCATATAACAAAACACAAGCTTTTAAAACTTAAATATTCAAAAAGTCCTCCTTCTTGATAGCTGTTTCAGATTTTCTTCTCTCAACAGTTCATCCTGCTTCTGTTCTCTTATTAGAGCATACAATTAGAGCATCAATCCTTTTTTATGCTGTCCTCCTTAGTTGTAAAAGGTACCCAATAGACTTTTCGAATAGAGTTTCTTAAAAGGTCCCCATGTGTAGAACTCCATCGAGGTTAAATCTGTGCTGTTGTTTTTTCTTATATTCAAATTAGTTTACTTTGTCTGACGTTCATTATTTTTTTATAGATGTTTCAATATCTTAATTTTTTAAACCATTCGTAATCAAAAAATCAAGTCTTCAGTTAACGTTACTTTTAAATTGATAATAACTGACTTTGAAATGAAATGTCTTTAAAGCTCATTTTTGTTGCCATATCTGGCAATATTTACAGGCTAAGAAAAATCATACTTAAACAATTGGAAACTCGGAAAATTTTATGTTCTAACAAATTTTGTTCTTGTTTGCGTACTCGTTTTAAAAATGCAACATTTAGTATTTTAATGCTTTTTTCATTGATGCAATCAAATTTACAGCACGATTCATATTTTATGAAATACTATGGTTTTATAAGAAAAAGTGGTGAAATAACTCAGAGGTTGCTATGAAAACTATAAGATAAGTGAACTATCACAAAAAGTGAAATACTCAAATGCAATTGATAATCAGACTATAGACGATTGGGATTTTTTAGTCCCAGTTCGTATGTAGAATAACCTCATCCAATATTAATGTACCTTCACGTGACATAGTTGACATGCATTGAGGCAAGCAAATCTGTTATTCCACAAAAATATAAAAAATATATTTTGCATTGTATAAATTCACTTTTCCACATCAAAAATGTAATTGTTATATGTAAACAATGTTTGTAAATCCCAGGCCCTGAAGATGATCTCAATAAAAGATCGAAACGTTGGCACGATAAAGAAAATGTTTTTCTGAAACCTACATCACACCAGACCGCATCTCACGATTTCTAAATAGAAAAAAAAAAGTTATTCCACAATTTCACTTCACTTCACCTTATCGGATTTTATGATCGAGATCTGTTGGACAAGGCTTGGGCAACACTATTGGGATAATTGAAGTTTTTACTGTGGAACTGGGTAAATTCTAGAGAAATTAAATTTTTAAATATTAAGATTTTAAAGTTGTTGTGGAAAATTGGAGTCATAATACGGAAGATGTATAATTGATCTGAAAATGAAAGGATTTAAGGCGTTGAATATTGGAAGGTTTAGCGTTACCCCATAGTTCACTACTGCACGTCCAAATAAGTTACAGCAGCGTTTGTTCGTTTTTCGAGTAGATTTTAAGAAAAGATTCGCTTCGGAGTTTAAACTTTACTTGCTTACGTTTACCTTCTTTCCATCAACAATCTGCTAAATTCTCTCTATGTTTCTAAAGATTTCCAAAGCAACTGTAAGATCAGGGCTAGATGATAGTGCAATAGACTGGAAGGTGTTGTTGTGACCTCTGCAGTATAAAGCACGTAAAAGATTGCTCGAAGCGATATTCCCGCGGTTGGAAAGTAGTTGGGAATAATCTGATTCTTGTCGAATCAGAAAGAACCCTTCTGATAAAGGCAAAGGATAATCCTAGAGGGTATTTGGCAGTTTATTAATTTATAGAATGACCCTTAGGCCACTCGGTCAAATGGTTGTGCCACAACATGAAATGCGGGCTTTTTTAAATATTTCCAATTGAGAACGTTTTGCCAGCTAAGTATGTTTCTTTTCGTTTTGATTGAGTTGTATTTCAGAAATTACTTCAATCGAGACCATTAAACTAATCCATTAACGCCTTTGATTTCTTAAGCTGTCCTTTCGTGGAGGGTTTTTGAACGTTAAAACAATTGACCATTCAACAAGTTTTCATTCGAAACTAAACAAATTCAAATTCTCTAAAAATTCCGACTAAAACGCGAAGCAAACTATTGAGTTCAATTTTCAACAAGCAAGCCAACAAAGTTGTAAACTTCCAGCGACGTTTTACACTAGGAATGAGGGTTGTAATTTATGAAAATATATGGATATTTTATACTAAAACATTATCGATTGTACATGTTTCACTAATTAGGAAGTATGTTTTGCTAACAAAAGAAAAAAACTCATCGATTGCTATCAAAACTGCTGTAGGAAAATATGCATAAAATTATCATTACTGTATGAAAACAAAACTTTTCTGTATAAATTATCGGTTTTTCAAAATATCAATTTTTGAAAGCTCAATCATACTATGAAGAAATCTAGAGTCAACTGGCAATCGGTTCAGTTTTTTTGTTTTCAGAATCTGCAGAATTCATTAGGTTTTTCTATGACTTTCTTTCTTTCACAATAAATAATTTGGTGAAGTCGTGAGGAGCGGTCAAGAATGAGGTAGTTTAGAAAAACACCTTTTTCTTTTTTTCTGTCTTTTCGATCTTTAATCGGGTCATCTTCAGGGCATAAATTGTGCTGCTATTCTTGTGGTGTCATATTGGTGTGGTGGGAAAGTGTAACCACCAACATATGACACCACAAGAATAGCACCACACTTTATGCCCTGAAGATGACCCGAATAAAGGTTGAAACGCGTCTGGAAAAAATGAAAAGGTGTTTTTCTAAACTACCTAATTCTTGACCGGCCTTCACGATTTCAACAAATTTTGAAACAGCATGTCACTAAGAAACACACATTTTCCAATAAAGTTTTCTAAAAAACAACCAAAATTGACAAACTAGAGCCAAACTCATCGGCTTTTGTATTCAAGAGGTCTTACTGTAATAGGGTGTATAAATCATGGAAGAGTTGATCTGCCAGAGTTGTTGAAGTCCTTTAGAGTAAAAGTACTCTAATTTCCTTAATCCATCGATCCTTCCACTTCCAAAGAATTATGTTAAAGCGTTTTTAATAACACATAATAACACATCTAACACAAAGCACATTTAAAAGTAAGTTATAATTTATATCGTGATCATAAGCTTCATTAAATCGTGAAAAAACGTTTTTAAACTCGGTATTTCATCTCAAGTTCTCAATTGTTTGATTTCAGAAGTGAACAATTTAATTAAATTTTTAAAATGTATCATATGCAAGCCAATGAATTATCCAATCTGTTACAAAAATATACAAATGTTTTCATAAATCTTATCTTTTTTTGTTTTCAATTACCTATACAATAGAGTTCTAGATGCAGAACAATTTCACTTGTAAAGTTATTTTAATAGTTACTATAAATGGCATTGACGGCCTGTAAAATACCACGTTACCATAGCTATGATCTCTTTATTTCATTTTTTTTAATCTACTTGTATGATGATGTGACAATTGCAGTGAAACCTATCATCAAATATTAGCAAAGGTATGATTCAAATCAATAAGAAAAATAAGGATTTATGCCTTGTATTTTATTATACGACTTTGTTACTGCTTGAAAGTTGTGGCCATGTTTTATCAAAGTTAATGGCCAATGACGTTTTAACTTGTGAACGTCGATAAAGCGTTAAACCTTCGGGCATTGATGACTTTCACAAGCACACCTGTAGGCTTTTTATGTCTCAAATAAAAATTTAAATGTGATTTGATGTGGTTTCTGTTCCGGGTATGAAGAAAACAGCAAACAACGATTACTTGCCGAGCATTCGACCTTTATAGGGCAATCATACATAAAACAAATTAAAAGGTACATTTTGTATACTGTTAGTTGGAAACTGACAGTCTCGAATATTTATTTATATATACAGATTGAAATTAGACCAATTTCGGCAAGTGTGGGGTTAAAGTTGAAGGTAAATAGTTGTTGGTTAAACTTTTGGTACTGGCTCTCAATAGTTCAATAAAAACAATCTTCTGCTTTTACAATGAGAAAATTTTTCAAAAATATTTCCTAATTTTTTAAGAATATCGGAGTAGATCTTGTTGAATGCCAGGACAAACTTTGTACTACGTTGATGGGAACAGGTTATTTGAAGATCTGGTTTTTGATACATACAAAATATACCTTTTAATTTATTTTATGTAAATGTATAGGCCTCACGATGGCTTTACAAAGGCCGAAAGCTCGATAAATAATTGTACTTCGCTTTTTCTTCATATCCTGGCCAGGAACCAGATCTTCAAATCATATCCCGTGGTCGATGGACGCAGGGCTACAAAAGTTTTAATATTGATGAAGGTGCAATACATGAACATTGTTCAAGTTATAGACACAAAACCCAAGCTCATCATAAGCAAAGTTTTGTTTTTACCTCATTTATTTATAATAATTATTAAGGAGGTTGTTCAATTATCGACCAACTTGATTATATTCTGGTTTGGGATGTTATTGGGTATGTGGTCCTGCAATGAATCATACACTGTATTATACAGTTGCCTAAACCTATGCAGGCAACTGTATAATACAGTGTATGATTCATTGAAGGACCACATACGCAATAACATCCCAAACCAGATTAAATAATTATTGTACACAGCTAGTAGGTTCGATTTTTCTTTTGGCATCAATTGGCGTTAGAAGAAGCTACCCATTGGCCACTCTCCGGTCAAATCATTTTTTTTTCTGATATACAGGCTGTTCTTTTTAGATGGCCGGGCTGAATTTCTCTTGAACCAATGACGCTATCAAATACGGGTTTAATATTTTTTAGTCTTCAAATATTTACCTTTTTTGGAGAAAAAATTATACAGGGTACCTCAGGCCCAGTTTAACTTCAAAATTTCAAATACGATCCTACACACTTTCACACATCATTTTAAAAGAATTTTATAAGCTCAAAACAATGGTTCAATAGAAGTTAGTTATGGCAAACAGAAACCGGTAGCGTAATTTCGACGGGTAGCTGAATAAATTTTCTGTATGTTCGCGTAAATCCGAATTCCTCTCTCCGAAATGTTAGAAGGGTTTTAGATTTTTCAAAAAATAAAATTAGAGAACTCCAGGCTTTCAATTTTAATGCGTATCGCTCCCATCCTGTCCAGGGATTTCGGGACTATGATTATGACAGGCGTCTTCTTCCATACATCCTATGACTGATGAATCCAACTTCACCTCTAAATATATACTAAACCGTTAGAATTTTCGAACATGGGCAGAGGGAAATCCGAGAATTTCGTCATCACCAGATGGTTCACAGTATCAATGTTTGGTATGGACTTCTCGGAAATAAATTAATTGGGCCTTATTTCTACGAAAATAATTTAAATGATTATTCAGAAATCGTGAGATGCGGTCTGGTGTGATGTAACTTTCAGAAAAACATTTTCTTTATCGTGGGAACGTTTCGTTCTTTATTGAGATCTTCTTCAGGGCCTGGGATCCTTCAAATCCAACGTATATAAACATATAACAGCAAAATCTCACTGGCACTCTCAACACGACACGCAAGAATGGCTCAATTACACAGAAGACAAACACTTGGAGTGAATAGAAATACTTTGATTGAATATAAAAATATATTTTGCATTGTATAAATTCACTTTTCCACATCCTAAATGTATTTGTTAAATGTAAACAATGTTTGTAAATCCCAGGCCCTGAAGATGATCTCAATAAAGATCGAAAAGTTGGCACGATAAAGAAAATATTTTTCTGAAACCTACATCACACCAGACCGCATTTCACGATTTCTGAATAATTATCGATTAACGGTCACTAATCACCACACATAATTTAAATGGTGCTCAATTCCTCAATTTTGTGAGATTTACTAACAATGTTGGATGATGTTCCGCTGTAACAAGGACAAAGAATGATTCTCCAGCTTGATGGATGCCCCGCACACAATTCTTCGCAGATGAGACGTTGTTTAAATCCTCACTTCCGGGATATGTAGATAGGAACTCACGGCCCGATCTGTTAGCCTCCTTGTTCACCCGATTTAAGTCCATTTGACCATTTTCTGTGGGGCCATTTAAAAAACAGTGTCTACGCAAATCGTAACCCAGCAACCTCAGTTGAAGAACTGCGGCAAAGGATAGGAAATTCTTTTCAATCCATCTCCCCTGACTGTATCGTTCGGGGAGGGGGGTGTAAAAGAGCAAATCTCTGCATCTTTACACAAGACAGGTAGTTCGAACATGAAATGTGTTTAACAAATAGCAAACCAAATGTTGTTTTTTGTCAAACTTTTTACCATAACTTTGTCATTTTTTTACCAATTTAAAAGGCCTGAGGTAGCCTGTATAATTTTTCTCCAAAAAAGGTAACAATTTCAAACTAGAATAGCAAATATTAAACACGTATTTTTTGTTTTTTGACAGAGTCATGGGTTCAAGAGAAATTCAGCCGGGGCAGCTAAAAAGAACACCCTGTATATTATTTTCAGTCGTTCACTGGATAATTGTGGGGTTGAATAAATGTACGTGTGTGTTACTGTGACCCTACAGCTTACTATGAATACGTTTGTAATAGTTTTCGATAGAAAGCTGACATTTGAAGATCCCCGTGAAGCGTATTATTACTTACATAAGAAGGGGCAGGAAGTCGTAAAATCTTTGAGTGAAAGCTTTGCAGTTTTTGATTATTGTAATAATCCGTAAACTCGGCACCCGTACATCCACATAAGTTTGAGTATGTATATATATGTCGAAAATTATTTTAATAGGATTTTGATCGGTTCAGTGGGTAATGAGCATTTTAAGTCAATTATGTGTATGTTTTTGAACTGTGTGTGCGGATTCAATGTTTTCGATAAGCAACATATAACACTATTTATTTTATAAAATCAAACAATCTTTTCCATATGTAATATATTTATTATTAATAGATAGTTTAAATTTCATGTGTTCAGAAGGTGCTTTGTAGTTGTTTGGTCAATGTCCCTTTTCTTTATCGACAAAAATAATATGAGAAAATAGTTACTTACAACTGAATGAATATGCAGTATTATACAGTATTTAAGGTCAAATTTGAAACAAAGTGTACGAGCTTACATCCTCTGAGTGATTGCAAAAAGCATCTCGTGCGATTTATTGTGGTTTATGATGATTTTCCGCAATTAGGTTTTACAACATCGCGTTAAATTTTGTACAGCGGGGCACAAATAAATGGGGAGATATGTAAAAATTATTAAGAGAAAAATAGTCACTAAAAAAATTCAAAACAGCTTAGGAAATCTTTGAATATACCACGAAAATTGTAATCGCGAAAGAAACCTTTTTTTATGCCTTAAATAAAATTTACAAACATTTCCGAATTCAAATTGCTAAGCAACGGTTTAGCTCGATGTTGCGCAACTTTTATTAACGGTTACTAAGAAATGAAAAAATAAATGGTTTATTACTTGAGGGCAAACGGAAATTATTTGATATGTCGAAGCGCTTGGCGACTCGGGAAAAGGGCACCGGAGAAAATTTGGAAGAACCCGAATTCTGTTTTTGCGATAGGATTCCACCCGAACTTTTGTTGGAAATTTTCAGGTATGAATTTGTTACGATTATTTAAGTCGGAATTACCCCCAGGAATAACGAGTACTCTGAGGTAGTTTGATGTATGGATGTCATTTATTAGCGTGAATGGATGGGGATATCCCCAATTACCCCGAGTAATAACGAGTACTCTAAGGTAGTTTGAACGAAGTATGGTGTGTGAATGTCATTTATTAGCGTGAATGTATGGGGATATTCCCAATTACCCCGAGTAATAACGAGTACTCTAAGGTAGTTTGAACGAAGTATGGTGTGTGAATGTCATTTAGTAGCGTGAATGGATGGGGATATCCCCAATTACCCCGAGTAATAACGAGTACTCTAAGGTAGTTTGAACGAAGTATGGTGTGTGAATGTCATTTATTACCGTGAATGGAGGGGGTATATCCGCAATTACCTCGAGGTATATTGGGTACTCCGGGGAAGTGTAAACACTAACCAGACTATTATGTTTTATCTTGTTACTGTGTATTTGTGTTATTATATCCACAATTTACGAGGCCCTGAGGTCCCGAAATGCTAGCAATAGGATAAGAAAATAAAGTTTGTCACCATTACACCTTAAACATTTTAATTTGACTGGAGAAAAAGGAAAAGAAATAAGTAGTTTTAAAACCCAAAAAGATAAGTAAAATGAATAAATGCAAATGTAGGAAAGAGACTGGCGATGACCAAGTAGTTTGCCGGCCCTAAAAGTTTAACAAAAGCCCTGTGAACCAGAATGGTATGAATTAGCGTATCCCTTGTACTCTTTTCCCAGTTTGCATTATATCCGAAGAAATGAATAACTAAACTAGAAGTCTAGAAGTCGGATCATTAAAATTTTTTTGGTTGCCGGTTTTTCCTGGCATCCTATTTTTCCGATTTTTGATGATCTTTTCATTGTTGAACGTTGCTTTTAAAATAAATGGCGAACTGCTCATACCATGAAGAAATAGAGCAAACAATTCGAATTTTTCCTTTTACGCATAACGAGAGCTTTTTCTTAGATGACTTCATCTCACACCTCTGCCTGGTCAAAATTTTGACGGATTTAGAGGATCTTTATACTTCAAACTCTTTTTACATCAAAATGCTAGAATATATCTATTTATTTAAGATATCTGTTTGTTCTTTTTTTGTTCTTTTTTTGTTCTCTCTTTTAAAATTAGACATTCATCGTTCAATTAAGTCGACCATACGATAAGCGTAGGAATATTTGCATAGTTCATAAGATGAAACAAATTTTAATTGCTATGAAAAACCTTGTTATTCCTACGTGAGTACACCACAACTACTTAATGCCTTAAAATGTACATAAAAGATTTGAGCGTACGGTTGAATGTTCCGAATTTTTACACTCTCTGATCATTTTTACGAAGTTGAAAAATGGTAAAAAGGAAGGAAAATTCAAAAGGTGCGGTTTAGATGGGAAGTTGGTGTCCGAGTGGATCGAGGTCACGATAGCTGGTAGAGCAGCGGCGTATCAAGCCGAAGATCGTGGGTTCGAATCCCGCTCGTGCCATTAACTTTTTTATCTCATCTAAAAACCTTAATTAATTGTAATATATTGATTGGTCAAGCGGACCTCGAAATTAGTGAATTTAATGATTTAAAATGAAGTATACTTCACTAAAGCTTTCCGTGGCCATTTCATTTGTCGTCGAGAATCCAATCCGATTACACGACATTTGAAAAATGGTAAAAAGGAAGGAAAATTCAAAAGGTGCGGTTGAGATTGGAAGTTGGTGTCCGAGTGGATCGAGATCACGATAGCTCAAGTGGTAAAGCAGCGGCGTATCAAGCCGAAGGTCGTGGGTTCGAATCCCGCTCGTCCCATTGACTTTTTTATCTCATCTAAAAACCTTAATTAATTGTAATATATTAATTGGTCAAGCGGACCTCGAAATTAGTGAATTTACGAAGTAAGCTCATTCTCGCTCTATTGCTGTTCAATGAAGCTTTTACTGCAAGGCTTTGTGAGAGATGCAATGTAAAATTAATATCTACGTATATGAGCATGTGAAGTGTTCTAAAATTTCTGTGTAACGTATTTGTTGACATAGCTAAAATTTCAGTTACATCAAGAATAACGAACTCTGCATAACCGTGAGGCTCGTGTCCCACAAATGGAAGAAGTTAGCCGAACGGGTTGTAAACAAGAATTTCCTTTTATTGGGACCCAAGATGAAGAAGGACATCGCGCTGACAACCGAGGCGATGCAACACTTACCAGACGACGTCAAAGCGATGTGCCTGGGTCGCGATTACCTGGAACACGTCCAGTTCGACGTAAGTTGCCATCCAAAATCGTCGTCTTGGACTTAAACCTCAGCAGTTATTTCTATTTAATTTTTAGTATGAAATGACATACGCGTTGGTCTGGCGGTACGCATTCCGGCCCGAGCCGCTCGTCTCCATGTTCGGCGGGCAGCTGGTCGATATGATAGACGAGTACATAGACACGCCGCCGATCAAAAGGACAAAAGTCGGCTTAATCAACATCCGCGTCAACGCGAGGGCCTTCCAGGACTACTTCGAGGACGTCGTTGAAAAAAGCATCAACAAAGATCCGTCCGTCTCCGGAGCCAAGCTGGTCGACATTCTCGACTGCCTTCACGACAGGATCACGCCGATAAAGATAATACAGGAAAACTTCGAAGCCGAATCAGGTAAACGACAGATAAAAGTTTCATTTTCCCAAAATTACTTACCCTTGTAATTTTAGTTTTTTTTATATTACTTCTACATAGAACGCATGAGTAAATTGGCTGTTTATTGCAATACACGGTCAAAACATGTAGTAATTGGTTTGGTTCAGTGACCTAACAGCTATTTATCTATTTGTGAAAGAATTTTTAGGGTAATAGAAACGATGGAAAATTAGTTTTACTTGCCACTGTGTCTCTTACCTCGTCATTTTAGTGTTGAAATGATCTGACAATTTATGCCGCTGATCTCTTTCGCTTATTTCAAGACTGTAAATCGGGGTTCGGTCATGCCTAACGTCCGACATTTTTGCACTACATGCTTCTCCTTTATATTAGATTACCTGCCAAAGTCACTGAAACAATGAAGAAAAAGTCGTGTTGAATTTACTATACTTAAGACATAAGAATGCGTGAAAAATAACCCAGCATCATCACTTATCAAAAAAATGTATTATGAAGGGGCAATCTTGACAATCACCAATATAATAAATAACGTGTTATAACGTCCATTAAATTTTTATTGTTAATTAGTGATCTGTCTTAGACAAGTTATTATGGTACTAGTCCAGTAGCCGAGTGGTAAAGGCGTCAGGCTCTCGGCTAGTAGATCCCGCGGTCGTGGGTTCGATCCCCACCGTCGACTCTGGACTTTTTCTGCCTAAGGTGGCCGCAATTGAAAGAAATTGACACGGCACTCATCAATGGAAGGAGCGGGATCAGATCTCAGCTACACTGAATTTGGTCCCAACCCCCTTCAAAAATGAGTTTCTTCGATGGAAGAACACCGGCACACCGGGGGCTCAAATCCACACTTGTGTTGCGAGCCCCCAAAAAAATGGAGCCAGGGATATAGTACAATAAGCTGTACAGCAGCAGTGCTCAGGAGGGAACTCCTGAGAAAGAAAGAATGAAAAAAAGGAAATAGTCCAATTTGAGCTATAAAAATACTTTCAGTTTAATAAAAAGTAGTGTGAATTTTTTTTAACAAGTTAACGTTTTGACACCAGGCATACCTTAGTGCCTTTCTTTCAATTGTCTTCTTTAATATTTTTAGTTGTTGTCCGCAGTGAGACTCGGATTTACGGTCTGATGACTGGAAGTTCATAACAAAAGACTCCTTTCTAGGACAGCATGAATACCCACCAGCTTGCTTTGTTCTCCGGATCGTCGTAGTTAAACGTTCTGATAAAGAATCCTTTTTCATCCCCGATCTTGACAGATATTTTTAAAACGGGTTTATATTGTTTTTCCAAGAGAGAAAATCTTTATCAGACAACTGGCTGGACTTAGTACCTCGAAAACCAGAGAAATGTTCTGAGATATTCTTTGCAGACCTGCGATTTCCGCACACTGATTCTTGAAAAAGTTTTCTTTATAGGCAATATTCGTATATATGATTCATACCCCGTACATTTTAATTGATTTTTCTCGAATGTTTCCTACCTAGTAATGCTAATTTTTTAAACCTTAGCTGCGTTATGTAATAGCTCATTTTAATACAGTTTTAAAATGTATTATTGTTGTAATTATCTATCAAAAATAACTTAACAACAATGTTTTAGTTTATTGGCGTATGAAGGACAGTTTGTATACTACAAGCCAATTTACTCGTTTTTCAGGAAACTACAAACTCATATCTGTGTATACAGTGCACGGAGCCTGGTTTTGTTCTTTGGGCAATGAGCAGCATAAAATTTTCAAAAACCATTTCCGCAACATCGCCCACAGCCTAAGACGACTCGTCGTCAAGCGCAATTTGTACGCGCTGTACGACTTTCAAAAGTTCAGGCAGAAAGCCATGTTCGACGAACATGTAAGCCGACTCGCTAAAATATCCACATCCGTTTAACGTGACCAGTTTGTTTTCAGTTACTCCCGGCCAGGTCGTATTCGTACTCGGGCTTCCAGCATTTCGGCTGCCTCTCCTACGGGTGCATGAACAACTCCGAATACATGAGCAGGTCACAAGGGGAGCTGATCCCGGTACCGGAGGAGGACCGCGTCGAGGAGGAGCTCGACCAGGACGAAGACGGCGGGATGCCCGAGGAGGAGCAGGAGATCGAGGAGTTAGTGCCCGCTCTTTTTCTGGAAATCAAAGCGAAACTCGATTGCCCCATTGAACTCGCCCCAAGGGCTGCTATAATGAAAATACCTCGGGAGAAATGGCAGGATAGGATCAAACTCAGGTCGTCGGATAGTTTCAACCTCGAGATCGAGGTACATTGTAACTTCTCTGGCCCTACCAGAGTACCTAAATTATATACATGGTGCTCTAGCAAATGATATCTTTGCTTAATTAAAAAAATGTTTTTGATTTATTAAATTCTAACTTTTGGTTTAACTTAGACTGTTTACTGAATTTTTTAATTTACTCGACATAATTCATGATCTAAATAATGATAAAGATTTAAAATTTTATATCTATTATAAAATTTGTTCTATTACCAATGTGTGGTGATTAGTAACCGTTAGTCTATGATTATTCGGAAATCGTGAGATACGGTCTGGTATGACTTAGGTTTCAGAAAAACATTTTTTTTATGGTGCCAACGTTTCGATCTTTATTGAGAACATCTTCAGGGCCTGGGATTTACAAACATTGTTTAAATGTAACAAATTCACTTTTATTTTTTACATAAAATATTTTTTTGCATTGTATAAATTCACTTTTACTTTTTATATAAAATATTTTTTTGCATTGTATACATTCCCTTTTTTCCACGTATTTGTTAAATTTAAACAATGTCTGTAAATCCCAGGCCCTGAAGATGATCTCAATAAAGATCGAAACGTTGGCACGATAAAGAAAATGTTTTTTTTTTTAAACCTACGTCACACCAGATCGCATCTCACGATTTCCGAATAATCATTTATTACCAATGTTGAAAACAATAAGGCAATATTTTAAAAAAATGGTTATACCAGTTCAATAGATGAAAAATATAGTTCTACTAGCAAATATTGTTTTTTGCTGTTATCCAAATTTAAAGCATTTAAAAGCTCCTCATCATTAAACTGAAAAAAATCTACAAGTGTGTTTTTTCAACACAGATTGTAGACCGTAGTGGAACGTTGAAAAACGCATTTCGAGATTTCCTTCAGTTTAATAATGAGTACAAATACTTGACATCTAGATAACTGTAAAAAATTAGTCCATAAGTAAACTATCTCAGTATAGGTCCTGAACCAATTCTTGGTAAGACAAAAATAACCAGAATTCTCATCACAGAATGGATCCAAAAAAAGAGAAAAAGAGAAGTAGAAAACTCTAGAAGTGCAAGATGTTATACTCACCAAACCAATACTGTCAAACTCACTGCTCCTGTACTCACTGAAATCAGAGGTGTATGGTAGGACTATAACCGGCCATTGGCATCTGAGAAAATATAATCAGTGATGACCCCCATATTTAGGTTATGCAATAGGGAGGAAGATACAGCCACTCATAACATATTCGAATGGAAAACAACCACTCAATGGAGACATAAACATGGAATATAAAGAATTCCCATAGAAAGGAATTGTTGAAACGATAGTCAATGACACTCCTTAGCACAAGGATTAGTCGATTGCATTGAACTAAGTAACTAGGAAAGTAAAACAAGTCAGGAATCTGCAGTTCTTGGGGAACCCTAAATTCCTAGTAACCATAATCCTTTTCAACATTTTGAAAAGACAATTTATGTTAACATATTTCTACGTAGAGTGACAATTTCTAATCATCCTCGTCTTTTCTATATTTTTTTAAATTATTTGACTTTTGCTGTATACATATACGTACATATTACAAATGTGATTAAAAACAACTTTATTTTCACACGTCACTAACAATAATGCCAGCGCTGCACCCGGAGGACACATGACATGAGAAACCAGTCAGTGCTGGCATTCAATGTGAGGAATAGAGGCAAGGAGGTCCCGAGGCCATCGTCGATTTACGCGACGTGGCGGGTTATCGAGATGGGAATGTGAACAGAGGTCACGGGTAGAACGGTTAGGAAGGATTGAGAGGTTGATGACAAATTTTTGAAAGCGGGAATTGATAAAAGGAATGTTGAGGTCGTTGTGGATAGAAAAGTTAGTGACGTAATAAGGAGCTTTGACAATCTGTCTAAGGACTTTTGATGGAAGGATTGGATGCTGGATGTTATCTATTCTAAACAGAAAAAAAATTCACAGACAAGGATGATCGATAACATCCAGACACTATTTGGATCTGTCATTTTATAAAAATTTGACTGTGTGGAAGGAAAGTAGGCATCAAAGATGGTTTGCATCCCGACACCATTTGGATTCTGCATTTGAGTTGGTGTATCTCAGGCAATGACAACTCTTGGTTCAAAAGACCAGAAAACACGACTTCCATTGAATGATATTTACTCAATTGATAAGGAAAAAACACTAAAAACAAGAACACTAGCAATTTGTTTTATTGCCAAATTTTAATTGTATCACACCATCCAAGCTATAACTGGTAAGCAGTAACGGAAATAATGAAATGCCGAAACACAGCTGAAGGAGCACACCGAGGATTGGCAGACCAGGACAAACCGTAATGATCAAATTGTAGTATAATTTGTAAATAATAGTATAATTTCTTTTCATTAGTTCAAATCTGTCGGGTCAAAACAATTACAAATAGCTGGAATAATTAACAATAAAGTGTTTTGTACATTTAATAACACAGTACTGATTATTGATTTATTTAAGCTCAAATCTGTACATACACACAAGCTTGTATAAAGTTCATAGTTGAGACTATTACTTCTCACAGATCACCGGCAATTCCAACTTTTGTAATTTACAATTATTAATCAGTTCCTGGCATGTAGCGAGCATCACCCACCCCTCGTGTTGGTAGACTGGAGTCAGACCTTGGTTGTGCCGGCGAGGTTGGCCTCCGGAGGCTATCACAGCCAAGCTAGGTCATTTCAGCCCCAATGCAATTAGTTCCTAAATTCATTCACATTCTCACTCACTCTTAAATAAAGTCCTACTCATTTACATACCATTGGCTCAGTTAGGAGAGTGGAGTACTCGATATTCCTCCATCACACCTACACCTAATCTTTCTTTGCGCCAGACACATATGCTGGCTTTGCCCCAAAAGTAAGTGTCCGTATGTCCATCTTGCATGGCCTATTCTTAACCGGGTGAGAATAACCCTTCTTCTATAAGTCAGGTCTTCCGAGGATCATCTACCGACAGGTATACTTTGCGCACTACCATCCTCCTTTGCTACCTATTATCATTAACACTTATTTATATAATTATTAAAGGAAGTTATTTTGAATGAACAAATGAAGCATTATCACTTTACAATTTTGAAAAATAATGATAATTTAAAACAAACAATGTCTATTATCAGCTATCCTAATATTGTCTTAAATACCAATTGATTTAAGATAATAATTTGACAAATAAACAAGATTATTAATCTTTTATTACAAAAACGTTAAAGATTAGATTGGACTTTAACATTTTTGTTAGACAACAATAAATCTCCTTATATCTAAATTACTTTTCAACGTCTACTTATGAGCTTTACAAACAGAATATTCATTAGAGTCTGTTTGTTGTGTTTGCTTTATTATATACATTTGTGAGTAAATCTGCAAGTTTAATGAAAACTTAACGTCCTGAACATTGAACACTTCCAATCTTGCTCATTTTAATGGCTTGGCATGCAATTTATTGTTTAATCCAGACTGTCTATGAAATGCATAGAGAAACATAGCTAATTAAGGAAAACCTTTCATTATTCCACTTAACCATGATACAACAATGTTGTTGATTCTGGTGAAGTTGTTCGGCTGATTCATACAAAATGGCCCACATTGACTGCTGTCAAAAGCATAAGAACCACCAATGTTCATATATAGTTCCATTGAGTTTAAATAAAACTGTTTTTATTTATAATAATGGTTGACATAAATTTCCGTCAGTTTTTGATAAATCATGGTAATATAAATTATGTGAATTGGTCGAAAACTATACCTCGAGTACCTAGGGATGTCCAACCGGGTTACAATTGCCTTTTCACGCACAAAAGGACAGTTTTTTGAAATATTGAATTATTTGAACAATTCAAATATAACTAAATACAAATAATTTTATTTATAGATTTCCAAATTTTATAAAAACACAAAATCAGGAGATCAATAAATATATGGATTTTAAGGGGAACTTGTAACAGAACTTTTCATAAACATAACATTAATAATAGTTTATTCATGTATTTATAGTAATAAAAGAGTAACATACATTATTGCTTATAAATAAATTACACAAGCTTATACGTTTGCTTCAACGAAATGTCTTTTTTGCCAGGTTTTAAAAAACTGATAACATTTACAGTTTAAAAAGTATAATTTGTCGATTTTGCCCACATGTAACTAACGTAATACGATAAAACAGCCAGCTCACACGAATAATATGATTCACTTTTCATAGCCGTAAGTCACAAGTTCTAAAAAAAAATTGAACATATTTATTTCATATTGGTTAAATTTTATCAAATACTAACCTTTTAATCTATCTTCGCCCTCGTATAAATAATTTCTTAATTCATCATAATTCAAAGATGGAAGTTTTCCGCCGTATTCTACTGGGAGGATATCAGGAGTTACATATTTATGAAGGGAAGACCAGTTTGACTTATGGAAGTGTATCTAAAAAATATGGCATAGATTAACATTTAATAAAAAAAAAACAATAAACTACGTTCATTACATTTTCTTTAGTAGATCCGCTAAGGAATGGAAAGACAATAGTGACTAGGCTGTTCAAAAGGAAACTTGAATTTACCACATGGTACTCCATTTTCCTAACAGGAATCCCCTTGAAAATAAAAACATGTTATCAATCCGGTACAAATCAAATTCAAACGGTATTCAAAAGCAATGTACCTCGGCTTTAGCAGAAGCGACTTTGCAATTGTGAGGTGTGAAGTACCTGAGGTACTTCCAAGAGAGTCCTTGCAAGTCGAATATGTAAACGAGCCCATTCTCCCAAGCCTCTTGTTCATCCATTGCCAGTTCCAACCAAAGATCATCCGTTTGAAAGTTCTCCCAAGGCTCTACTTTGCCTATTGCCACATTTCCTACAATACAAAAAAATACTTATTACCAATTTATATGGTTCGTTATTTTCAATGAACAATATAAAATTATTATTGGTTAACAATCATTATTTTCCTCAGACGGTTTTAAACATGAGGAACGTCTTTCTTGCTCTGTAATATATACTGCCGATCTGTAAACTTTGTATATATATTAAACAATAAAGACATATAAAAAAAATCATTATTTTATTAATTTATGGCTGAAAATGTTATCTACGAAAGTTTCTTTTAAAAAATGAATATCATCATCTCTTTTCTTTTTTATAATTTAAATTATTTATTTATGTTTAGTTTGTTGTTCTAATGTAATTCATTCATAAAGATATTAAGATACATCACGCTCACCTAGTCTGAGTAGGTAGACTCTCCGCCCAAGCTGATCTCTGTCTTTTAAAAGGCAGTGGACATCCTGAGTAAGGGCCATCCTCTGCCTGTCTGTAAACACTGAAGTAGCGAACCATTGCATGTTGTCCAATTTTAGCTTGTACACAGTTTTCATCTATAACATATTTAAATGTAAAACTAACAAAAAGGAAAAAAAATCATTTTTTATAAGAAATACCTTCGCGAAAGCCTTTTCTGCGTCAAAATTGCTGTAGTGTAAATAGCGCAGTAAAATCTTTTCGTCATCGCCAATATTCAGTTTCGTCTCACCTGGAATGTTATTATTTTATGGAAAAAAATCAACTTAGAATTAATTGCTCCTTACTTTTAACCAATGCACGGAGTTCTTCCATTACTGTTTTCTTGTCATCGGCTGTCACAATTGGTTCCATCATCGTGCAGGGTTCACCAGTCGAATGATAAGAGTTCCTGTTGTTCACTGAATGATTTAACTTTGCTTTGATCCTTTATCTCTCGGAGGGAATAGCCTACACAATATTATCATTCTGGAGGGCATAAGAAACAAGATAGGTCATTGAACGCCACAATTATTTTTAATTGTTTCCAGTTCTGAAGAAATACTATCACAATACAAACTGCACTTTTGAATGTTTCCTTTGAAATCAAATGAAAATACTTTAGTTTTGTTTAAAAAGTTAATAAACAGATCAGATTGTCTAATTTGCCACAAAGGTCACTTGATATGAAATTTATATTTAGTTTCCACCTCACCCTTGTGCAAAGAAAACTGGATATACAAACTGCTAAATTATCTCAATTTGATAAATACAGAGAGAAAACAAAATCACCTTTTCATGTTTATTCTTACATCTCTGTCGGCAGGCTAGAGAGGTTATCAGTTAATGAGATCAGAGAGCATTCATCCCATTATCTATTGATTATATGTTAAATTTTAAAATCTTTTGTTAGGTGTAACAGTAAGAATCAATGAAAACTTTAAAGTGGGTTTTAACTATTTTCTCTATGATAAATGAGTTGGTTTCAGTTAATACAACATGTATTACATTAAATATTTATTATTATAGTTCGTATAAACCTAATTTAACTGTTGATTCATATTTTAAATTCCTGACAAATATGTTATCAAAAATTGATAACATTTATGTTATTTTCTCATCAGTACGTTGTTTTTCAAATTTATTTATTTTATTTTATTATTTTTACGACGTTACGTGAACCCTTGGGTGCCAGTCTTTTTGAAAAAGCCCCCTTTTAAATATGGCGGGTTCGAATAGAGGGCAGCGGGATTCGAACCTTGGACTTCTATCTTAAAGTGATGAGTCACATTGTCAACTCCTTAACAATTATGACACTGACGCCACTAATTTATTTTTTAAGTTATTATTTATTTCATTCGATAGACGGAGACAACCGAAAATTTTTGGAGAAACCCAAATGAAATAAAATAAATAATAAGAAAAAAGAAACTAAAATGTACATGTTTTTTAATTTAAGCAGTTTTGTCTGTTCACTGTTTTCTTTGTATACAAATGATATTTCACGGCAGAGAGTAATTTTTCAGCATTCAAGCCTTTTGCAGAGGACTTAATGTCTCGAGGGATTGTTGATCTGTAAGGAAGAAAATATCCAACCTAAAAACTTTTATAAGAGCACAACGTGCATTGAATCACCTATGCTGAATCATTCTGACAGTACAATATGAGCCTTAAAAAAGCTAACTATATGAACTAAATATATAATGACTTTCAATCGAAAGCAATCTATTGATGTTACAGAAAATTTTGATTCTATCAGTTTTGCTGTTCATCGCTTTTGATTAATTGACGTTTCGAGCTTTCTTTGAGTCATCTTCGGAGCATAAAGTGTGATGCTATTCTTGTGGTGTCAAATTGGTTTTGTGTGACATTGTTGTGAGTGGGTTTCAAAAACGTGTTTTTCTGAATTACCCCCTCACGGTTCCAACATATTAAGCAAACGTTGTGATTAATTGTTTTTCATCTAAAATAGTTTTGTTTTTTCAATCATTTTTCTGTATCGGTTTTTTCCACAAATTAGAAGGTGAGCATTCAAGGTCTGTTTGTCTATATCAAAACAAAATTTCCATATGGCAGAATGAAGAAGTGGCTCGAGTGACCCCGCGTAAATAAAGAAGCAAGGCCTCGCAGGAGAAAGAGTGGGAAGTCGCCGGCCACGTTCGTAAGTTCAACTTACAACTAGCTGAATACTTAATAAATGTGTGGGTTAGATCCTAATTGTATTGGCAGCCAATTCCGCACACCGGGTAATGCATGGTTCGTAATCAGCCAGCTTAATTAGAGGAATCCCATTACTGGCACCTATTGGCAACTGGTCTCCTTGGTGCATCTGGTACCTTTCGGAATAGACGTGCAACTGAATTGTGACATTTCTTGTGTTCTGCATAACGTTTGGGGGGGGGAGGAATTTACAAGCCTCCGGTTTTTGTTTTACTCAGTGAAAATTATAAATTGCCTATGCAAGTAGACGTTTATTGACGGATAGGTGGCATTTAGTTAACGGTCGCAACTTCCATACTTAAATTATCGCTGTAAATTAAATGTTTTGCGTGTAAATAGCGTAAATAATATGTCTGACTCGAGATGACGTCCCACTGTTGATTTTTTTTCTGTCTAGGGTGACGAGTTATAATTAACCGTTAACCAACAGGAAAAATTACAAAATTTACATAAACAGTCTACTAGCCTTGTCGAATGTTTACCACAAAAAGCTGGATACGCACTGGTATTCTTGAATCCACGTAAATTTGTCAGGATGTGACGAAACAGCATTAAAAAAGTGATGAAAGACTAAAATCGTTGTCATCCATGGCTGTAATACATTATACATATCATTATAGAATTATTGAGTACTAATTAAATACTGTATCATAATTATTATTACTTATCACATAGACAATAACATATGGTTTTGTACATTAATACAAAAACCCACAGCGAGAGTTGTAGAATTATTAAAAAGTTTGGATAGTGTTTTCTATTTAATATATTATATACATGAATGTGTCATCATGTATAATAAATAAATAGGGTTGTAAAGCAAAAAAGGTGAAGAAGAAGAAAGCACGTAAATTGTCTGAGTAAATGAAAGGGAAAAAAGTGCGTTTACTGTGGATTAAAATAATCAGGAAGACCTGGAAATGGGATTTTAAGCTACAGAAAGCACTTTTGGAAATCGACCCTCCCAGTCTGATCCACGAACATATTTCACAAAAGCCAGAGAAGAAACACAAAGCCAATAGCCTGGGGCTATATGTTGAGGACGTAATGTCATTTTCAAACAACAAATATCGTGCGAAAGATTTGAGATTGAAGTCTTGGGAAAAATTCAGTATTGTCTGGAATATAAACTAGTACCCGTTGGAATAATAACTAGCCAGAAAATTTCGTGGTAAACGTACTGAAAAGATTTCATATGGAAACCTGCAGGCCGACTTCTGCTCAAATGGTAGCAGATCCAAAAACTGAAGAAAGAAGAACAGCCCAATGAGGAACAATTGAAGAAATTTCGTTACCATTGACTATTCAGATCTTTGATGCATTCAATCAGTTCAAATCTAAATATACTGAAATTAACTGGAAGGCTACCAAGAGAATACTTATTTGAAAGGTTCATCGAATGTATAAAATTCAAACGCCTTACAGACGCAACACAAAAACTGCCTAAGTATTCTGAGGCAGATTGGGCTAAACGTACTGAAGATAACAGACCCTGGAATCTTTTTAACGTTGACCGGAGAACCGGTGAATTTGGAACAAAAAAAAAGACAGAAGTGGTATCGAATGCACTACATGATATCATTTTGGTCTCAAAAGAAGCAATATATTTGAAGTGATTTATGAAATAAGAACTCGTAACTCAGGGGCGTCGGTGGCCGCAACGGTTTAGGCGTTGAGACGGCGCTCATCACTGTAACGTAAAGGTCCCGGGTTCGAATCCAGCGGCCCAGCATTCGAATCCGACATACTTAGAAATAGGCTTTTTTTTCAAAAACACCGGCACCCCGAGGGTTGATATAACCTCTGCTGTTGCGAACCTTCGTAAAAAAATAAATATAAAAAAACTAGCAACTCAGGAAATTGTCCCACGTCAGAGTACACTGAAGCTATCCAGCAATGAACGAAACATATCGCCGCAAAATTTCATTTTTTACGAAAGGCGATAAATTAAGGTTTGGTTTTGCTAACATATTTATCGACTGATAAAACTTTAGCTGATATCCTTACTAAACCACTGCCCAGGTGAAGCACAACTTCTGCTCTGAAGGAATAGGAATTGAAATCGTCACATCTTCGATTTCGATGGGGAGTGTTGAGGTGGACGCTGTCTTCAATGTGATAAGAGTTATCTTTGCTGTATACTGCATGTGCGATTCTTGCTGTTCTCTGTTCACGTGGTGCAACATATTTTTAATGTATAAATGTTAACTTATGTTAGTTTACTTCGGAGTGTGTTTAACTCGTAAAGCCAAACCTCAACATATCGAAATAAAATTATAAGGTGGAAGGACCTCGTAAGGTAAAAATAATAAGGCTTTAAATAAAATATTATTTGTATTATCAATGTGCTAAAATACAAAACTTGACAGTAAAAATTTCACCATATGCCAAAAAATAAATATAAACTATATATACACTCTTGACATTCAATTATTTTGAAAAAAATCCTAAATCTAAATTGTTGTATCTTTTATACACGGGATAAAAATCATTTCCGAAAACTTATTTAATATCACAACATTAGTTTTTGAAAATTAAAGTCTCTTCGTGCTACTCGTCTTTATCTTTGACGTCGTCTTCGTCGGAATTGTCTTCGTTGTATTCTGTCTTGTATCCAAGCTCGGTCATGGCTAAATTGCAAATAAAACGATAAGTTTTGCTCTTAACATTTACTTGCTACTTAGCGAGACTTACCTTCGACTACAGCTCTATTCTTTGTCAGCTTCCGGAACCATTCGGCATAATGGAATTCCGGCCTCTTCCCGCCGTAAGATTCCGGCAGGAATTTCGGGTCGATGTGCTTGTGCAAAGAGTTCATATCCGAGCCATGAAAGAACAACTGAAAATAAAACAAAAACAGTCTGTGTAAATATTACATTTCACATAGTCGACAGGACAAACATTTAGTTTTTAATCAGTACATGATCGCTTGCTGTATCGGGTTCGAGTAAAAAAAATGTTAAAAATAAGCACGGAAGGAAACACTGAAATTGTACGTTACATTGTGCTGCGGTCGTAGATAATCAGTTCTGGTCAGTATTAGGGTAAGGTGAACCAGCGACCACAACACTTCTAACTTCCACGTCCGCGAAGTTCAGCGGTTTTCTCACAATGGTAACTTTTGTACGTTTGTCAATTTGTGACAAAGAAATTTGAGACGTTCTATAAATTATTTTGCTTTCAAAATTATGTGTGCCTATTATGCAATGGCTTTCAGATTGACTCGCTCTACACAGACATCTCCAAAGCATTTGCCTCAGTTGATCATTCTGTTTTGGTTTCTAAATTAAAATCTTATGGAGTGCATGCACTTCGTTAAATTGGCTGCAGCCTTTTATTACCGGTAGAACAAGGTCATCATCAAAAATGATTTAAATCAAAACCATTTCAGTTCCTTTCTTTACCTTTTTTATTGGGTTGTATGTAAAAAAAAAAGTAGGTTTGTGGTGATAAAAACAAAATTAAATAAATGAGTGTAAATATTTTTTATTAATTAAAATACCTTCCATCAATCCCAATACACTTTTGCCAACATAATGGCAACTTCTCCATACCCTTTGAATATAATTTTGTGTCTTTATTGTTAACGAATCATTTTCTAATGACTTTTGATCAATAAATTTTTTATGTTGTAAAACGCTCAGGAGACTGAAAATATGACAGTTGTATCAGAATCGACCTTTTCCGACTGACCAAATATAGCTTCAATAAAGTCCATTTCTGGTGCATTGCTTCAATTTGAGATCATTTCGGGATCGACAGTTTTGCCAGAATTCAAGAAGATGTAGTAAATCAGCCAAAATGAAGCCCACCAAAGAATCACCATCACCTTTTTGTGATGAATTGGGGCTTTGGAAAATGTGATACTGTTTCTTCTTTGCCGAGCCACTATCCAGAACCACTGCTGTTATCGTTGTCTACTTTTCATCATAAGTAACAATTATGTCCAGAAATGGACCGTTTCCGTTTCGGCACAGAAGTGTTGCGCAAACTTCATATGGATTTTTTGCCGGTTTAATGCATGAGGAACGATTTGAAACTGAAGGATTCTTTGCAAGTTTTGGGATTTTCTTCTCGTGCTCGTAGAACATCATCATCTGAGGAAGAAATCTTTCACGACCTTCTTTATCTTACAGGCTAAAGTCTCTCTCTCTCTAAATTTTTTAAACCATCTTTGAACTCCCACTGCCATCGCACCACACTTCCTAATGTTCTATTTGGGCACCGTCCCGACTGAGTTTAAACTCTTAGTAAAGACTGAATTATTCTCAAGTAACGAAATACTCCAGATAAACAAACATTTTTGCCTGGAAGAGGATTAAGAAGTGTTGACATTCGTAAAAAGAATAATCCATCAAATGTAAACAGTTTATTATATAGAGGGGTAATTGAAAGAAAACATGAAAACCTGCATTGTTTTATGGACAAGCCGATATTATTGTCTGGCACTTGACATGCTAAGATGTGTAAAATAATGTAGGAAAACTCAAATCGAGATTCAAAGAGCCACCTAAGAGGAACGGACAGTTAATTATACATTAAAAAATATGGTTTTAGCACAGGCTGTGATAACTGGCTAATAATACGGGCAAAAGACAGACAAATCAAATGATTATACATTATTAATCGTTCCGTCACTCGAATTCCTTCAAAAAGGAATACTTTTGCAATATAATCGCCTGGCTCACGTAATAATAATTAATTAATTTCAAAATGTGGCATGAGTCAGTGGGTCGATAAAATATATCCACTCCTTTTATTTAAAATATGGGTATGTTTATAGTAAATACTATTTATATTGTAGAAATATGTGGTGATTAGTGACCGTTAAGCGATAATTATTCAGAAATCGTGAGATGCGGTCTGGTGTGATGTAGGTTTCAGAAAAACATTTTCTTTATGGTGCCATTTGAGGTGCTTTCCTGTTATCAAGCCTTCTGCAAAGCCAAGAGATCTGTTCTTATTTTAACAGGTGTTTCACAACTTTCTGCAATTATTCAGAAATCGTGAGATGCGGTCTGGTGTGATGTAGGTGTCAGAAAAACATTTTCTTTACCGTGCCAACGTTTCGATCTTTATTGAGATCATCTTCAGGGCCTGGGATTTACAAACATTGTTTACATTTAACAAATACATTTAGGATGTGGAAAAAAGTAAATTTATACAATGCAAAATATATTTTTTATATTCAATCAAAATATTTCTATTCACTCAAAGTGTTTGTCTTCTGAGTAAGTGTGCCATTCTTGCGTGTCGTGTTGAGAGAGCCAGTTTTATGTTTATATACATTGGATTTTGAAGGGGTGGGGAAGGAAGTCGGTATAGAAAAGACATTTTTGTATAAAGCGTCGGCTTCTTTGAGGTGAAAAAAGCCGACGAAGGGAAACAATGTGTTGGTAATGGTTCGGCCAGATTATCCTTTCAGGATTATATAGAAAGGGATAAATAGGAAAAGGAAAGCTAAATTGTTGGACAATTAGACTATGAAAAATATTTGATGTGTGGAATGTAATGTAATGGTAAATGTATGTTATCTATATTGGATTTGATTAATGATATTGGCGTAGCTGCGACTGAGTTGACGCAAGAATGGCACAATCACACAGAAGACAAACACTTTGAGTGAGTAGAAATACTTTGATTTAATATAAAAAATATATTTTGCATTGTATAAATTCATTTTTCCACATCCTAAATGTTAAATGTAAACAATGTTTGTAAATCCCAGGCCCGAAGATGATCTCAATAAAGATCGAAACGTTGGCACGATAAAGAAAATGTTTTTCTAAAACCTACATCACACCAGACTGCATCTCACGATTTCTGAATAACTATTTATATTGATAATACATCAGAAATATAAAAAACAATAATGACTTTTAAAAATAATTGTTTCGTCGCGGACAAACGGAGGCACAGGAAAGCGGATCGAACCGATTTTGGCCGTGTATTTACTCATTCCAGGATGGTACAAGGTCAGAGGCAGTTGTCAAGGTTGATGTTGACCATTCATTATACGTGAGGCCGTTACACAATGCAGGACAATACGGCGTGACTGGTCGAGCCGCTCTCTTTCCAGTTTTGGCCATCGGCAGCTGACGACAAAATGGCTTTTCTAACCGCTAATCGCCATCGGAAAGCGCCTTCGGTTGGCAGGAAGAGTAAAAGGAAAAAGTTTACAGCCAACTTTATTTTAAGTTTCGTTTTAAACTTCGGGAAAATTACCATCTACCAACAACCATAAAAGTTCTTCACTTTTTCGAGGAACTAAGGCTGGTAAAAAGTAGTGATTATCGACCTGAAAAACTACTCTATGACCTAATATTCTGCAATCCTCCTAACTGCCAGGATTGTTTTTTTACCACTTTACCACCAGTTTCGCTTTAGACGTTTTCATTCCACTATTCGACAGTGCCATAGTTTTGTGGACATCACCGCATCCTCCCTTGAGAAGAAGGAATTCTGCTAAAGGGGTCGAACCGGTTTCAATCGAGTTTACTTAAACACAAAAATTAGCGTTCTACATGTTGCAATTTATATTAAAATTTTAGTGTATAATTTCAATGAATTTTCATTATAATTTCATTCGTTAGTATTTGGGTTATGTTGTCATGTAAAACACAACTTCTGTATTCACACAAGCTTCTTAACAACTCGCGCTATTTTTAGAGCCGCCTTTATTTTACGTTTTCTTTTAACCTTTTGCCAAATTACCTCCTTCACAAACCATAAAAGTCCTTCACGCTTTCTAGGAACTAGTACAAAATCCCATGATTCTCTTGGCAAATTTAAACTCAACTATTGGCATTCTATATGTTAGAATTTATATTAAAATTTTCGTTTATAATTTCATTATTAGCGCTGTGGAATTTTAATAGCTAACTAGAAATGTTAAGTGTTACTCTAACTACAATCACGACTATTTTATGCTTACGTTACAATTGTTTATGTTTTATCGTATATATTGCTTAAACGAAGTTTCAAGTACTTTATTTGCAATGTTAATATATCACATTACGTTACTGTATACGTTAGTATTTGGGTTATGCTATCACGTAAGCAACGAGTATTCCGTATTTACACTAGCTTGTTTCCTTGAAGATGTCAAGAAAAATAAATTGTTAGTTTGTGTACTGTTGTGCTAGGTTATAGTTCCTATTGCATACTTTCCGGACAAACAACTGGTTTGCTTATTGACGCACTTCACCGGTGGGAATTTCATCACTACAGAACAGATAAATGTTGAAGATCGAGGAAGTCTTAACAAGTCGCACCACCTCCGGCAATTTTCATGGGCTATTATTTTAAACGTATCTATTAAAGGAAAACGTGCTTTTTTTCAGTATTTCAATTTTCTTAAATTAATTCATTCTTAGAATTTGTTCATTTTTTCCATTATTGGGCCCAACATGAAAATTATATCTGGAGATTTTTCTGAGGACTGTAGTCAAAAATTGACTGTTCTATTTTATATTATAGTATGTGGAATAATCTAGAAAGAACATGTTGACAAATTACCTTAATTTTTGAGTGTTTTTGAAGACTGATTTGTTGCTGCAAGACACAGATTGCTGTGACTCGAGGATGACTATAACTTGTGTGGTTTTCGTGCTTTAATTTGTTAACATCATTGTTAACAACAATTTTATTTGGTTTCGTGGTCCGCTTGATCAAATAAATTCTTTTCAATTAATTAAGGTTTTGGTTGAGATAAAAAAGTCAGCGACACAAGCGGGATTCGAACCCACGACCTTCGGCTAAATACGCCGCTGCTCTACCACTCGAGCTATCGTGACTTCGATCCACTCGGACACTAATTGTCTAATTAATTGAAAAGAA